GGGCCCCCCCCCCCCCCCCCCCAGTGTCCCTTGTCTAAGAGTGGGCAGATAAAAGGGTAAAACCCAAGATCGGTCATGCTTACAGGAAGGCTTTGTGATCTGAGGGTGATAGTTTATAGATATTCATTCTATTTAAATGGAGGAAATCTGGAAATCTGGTAGTATGATTCTATGCAGTAGCTTTCTGTGGTCCCGAGATCAGCAGCATGAGCATCAACTGGGTGCTTGTTTTAATAAATCCACACTTAAATTTGAGAAACATTATTTTAAAGGAAACTATGACAGCTTCAACAGTAGGAAAATTTTTAGTCAAACCAGTCATTTGGCATAATATACCGAGTCAAACCAATTCAAATATACCATTCAAAGAAATGGTTAACTAGACCTAATATAATTGCATTATTTTTAAAAAGCTGAGTTAATTCAAAGACACAGTGTGTTATATTTGCCAGAATAGCCTAAAATTTCAGAATATTTCATAATGATTCATATGTAAGGCTCCTGAACATTAGAAAAATATTCAAAAGTGCCTATAATAATCAACCATTTGTTGTCTTCCCCTCCCAACCCCCAGAAGAGTCAGAATTAACATAGAAGCTTGATTTAAGAGATTAGTAATACTAGGACTGCACAGACACCAGCTGTTAACTTGCAGAATGACCTTGGCCAAGTCCCTCTACCTCTGCACCTCAAGTTCTTTATGCAAAAAGTGGAAATAAAATTCTTATTGACCTCAAAGGGGTGTTTGAAAAGCCTAGTTAATAAAACAACTGGAAGGCATTTTGGCAGAAGTAAATGCTTAATTCCTGTAATGGAGATGCTGTATTAAATCATCCAGATCAATGCCGGGACACTAAAGGATTTTTCAATAACCTCATATTTCCAAATGCTCCCCTTAGTCTAGTTTGATAGTTACTCAACCTGGAGAAGTGGAGAAATGAAGCTCAACCGTTTTAATGGAACAACCACAGGAAACACTGACCTTGCTGTGAAAAAGTTTGTTTCAATACCAAGTGTAAATTTTCTTTTGCTTACTTTTATGCCATTACTCTTAATTATACCCATCTTATAATACGTTCTCTTACTTTCTGTGCAGCCTCTTGAAATAATTGCAAGTACTTAGCAATCCCCTACCTCTTGTCATTTTTTTTTTACGACATATATTTCTTTTATAAGTTCATAAAACGTTCATTATGCAAAATTTGATATTGGTAAATTGGTGATTTTGTAAGTTATTATTTGATGAGAACAGAAAAAGTTGTTTAAGCACTTTTTATGCCTGGGAATAATTCCCATCCTGAGATAGACACAGGAACCCCTACAATAGGATAGTTTGGAAGGGGCTTGGAATATGAGTCAGTTTGCTGAGGCTCCTTAGGAAGGGTTCAGTATCTAGGTCAGTCCCTCTCAAACTTTAATGGAAAAACAAATCACCTGGGAGGTCTTTTAAAATTGCAGAGAGTGATTCTGTTGGGCTTGAGATCCTACATTTTTACTGAGCTTACAGCTGAGGCTTACACTGGAGGGTCTGGGGACCATGTTTTGAGTAGCCAGTATCTAGACTGGGAGACTCTTTCAAAGTGTGGTTCAAGGTTCACTCATAAGGTGCTTATTAAAATGCAGTATCTTCAGGCTCATCTAAAGTCTGCTGAATCAGAACATTCATGGATGGACCCAGGAATCTGCACTGAAAGGGATCTGCAGGAGATTCTGATGAGTTCTAACATTTGAAAACTAATGTCCTAGCTTAGTGATTCTCAGCCCTGGCTTTCCATTCAAATCATCTATGAGGAATTAAAAAAATACTGATGCTAAGACCTCACTTCAGAGATCTTAAGTCAGAACCTCTTACAGCGTGGCCAGGTTTAGAATAGTTAGAGCTCCATGGGTGATTCTAATACTCTACCAACGTTGAGTTGTTTGGGATAGTTGCATGAGTGTCAAGGTAAATTTAGCTGTTCACTTTAGGGTTCAAGCTGGGTCTTCAGTTCCGAATAGATGGCCAAGGAATTCTGTGTTCCTGTAATTGCTAGTTTAGCTAGCTTCCCTGTTTTACTTTGCCAGTCCATGATTCAATCCAGGAAGCTCTGGATCGCCCACAACATTTGTGTAATCACCGCCACACTAGGCTAATGAGGCATGATGAGTAAATCACTCTCTTGCATCTCTGAAAAAGGTGCAGGTGTTTGCTGAGAAGAGACAGTTGAGATTCTTCGGGAAGCCCAGCAGATTGCAGTGCGGTTACCATGGTGTCCAGTCTGGCAGGAACCATGGAACAGATGCTGTGCTTTTCACAGGACACTTTTCTTTTTGTCATGGCCTGCTTTCTTTCTGAATAATAAAGGTGCTCAGAATTCTTCAGTTGTACCTTCCCAGGTAGTCTGCTTTGAAACACGTAGTTTCTAACATGACCTCATCTACCCTCTACAGCAGGAGACCCTCTTTTAGGTCACAGGTCCATTTGTGAATGTGGTAACTATGGTCAAAAAATTTTGTATATAGACATTTTGGTGCTTCTAAAGCCTGCCTCTGAACCCCAGTTTGAAAACTCCCAATTCATAGCACAAGAAAGAAAGTGCTAGCTTCTGGGCCAAGGATACTTCATTTCTGCAGGGTATTAGGGTGATCTTAGGGCATTCCTTCCCCACCTCCCCCACTATTAACTCTTATCATTCCTGAAAGAAAGGTCATTGGCAATGGAAGTTATTTGTTTCTGTCCAGCAGACAGTCCTATAAGGATTTCTGGCCTTGAGGCCTGTTCTCTTTTAGCCAGACCAGAGAATGGGGTGATTTTCTAGTGAGTTTGAGGTTCCTCTTGAACAGCCCACCTTGCAGAAATGTCTTAGGTTCAGCAGAGGTAGTCTAGCCTTTCTGGGCCTCATCTCTGTCCTCTTACTCTCAAACCCCATGATCCCAGTGGCTTGACTTCACCAGCTTCCATGTTCAGTGGCCACTGCTTCCCGGTTATCCTCAGGGGTTGCGGGGGTTGTAGAGGCAAGAAGTTAAATTGAAACAATTCCTTCTGGGCTTCCAGTAGCTTAAAGAAACAGCCCTAGAAAGAATTGATTGTCTGAAAGTACCTGAAGGAAAGGGAAATGAAAAGTCTGTTGACAAGAGGAGAGATTCTTGAATAAACCAGGAAGTCCTCTCAGAAAGATTCCACCTGATTGAAAAAATGACAGACATGACGGTTAATTTCCCAAGTGGATGGTGACGGGTAAAAATCTTGAAGTTGGCTAAGACTAATTAGAATTACAGGATCTCAGAATGGAATGGAGCTAAGCTGCTACCCTGTGCATGATCCGTTATAATCAATTTTGCATGGCTGTAGTCATAAAACACAGCAAAACCTCTTTAATTCATACTAATTTGGGGATTGGATGATTATTCTGAATGAACGAATTTTTAATAAACATTACATTTATTAGTTATTTACACGAAGCAATTAAAATTAGGTTAACTTACTGAATAACCAAGTGAAAGGTCCTGTTGTAGTGAACAGGATAAGATTAACTTGTGATTAAGATCAATTACATGTAAATGATACTTGAAAACCAAAAGATATTGTTCAAAATATCAATGTGCTTAATCTAGCTATTTTGCTTACTTTGTGGGAAGGTAAACTTTAGCATGAATCCCCACACATTCTAATTAGTACAGCCCAAATTTAATGAGGTTTTACTGTAAACACAATTTGCTTCTGTCTGTATTATCAGGATGGTCTTCTGAGGATAAGATCTGCTTTTGAATTGAACACAATGAACACCACAGTGATTTTCTTTTAGGCTTTCTGTGGCTAATTTTTTTTGGCACTTTGTTAAATAACTTGATCTCTTTTCTGTTTAAGGGATTTAAGGACAATGTCTATCGACAGAGAAGAAAGTATTTTGTGGATGTGGCCATGGGTTATAAATAGTAAGTACCTGTATAACTCTTTCTTGGCACTGGCTAGTTAGGAAAAACATGTGCCATGTTAAACAAACTTGTCTTCTCTTCACTTTAACTTTTGCAGAAGGCAGACTTAAATCTTAGTAGACACTCACCAACTCTGTAGGCTTTAAGTGCCAACACCGAGGTTTGACAACTGGGTATAATTGTAAAATAATGAGACCTGCTGGCCACATTCCAAGTGCTACATTTACACCATTGTGTTCACAGGCTCACTAAGGCGAGGAGCCATTTATGTACATTCTGTAGGGCCTGGAAACTGTGTTTTAATTTTGCTTTTCACTTGACTTTTCGGTAACCCCCTTCAATGTCCAACTTTCCCAATGAAAGAAGAGGATTCGGTAAGAATGGTGAAAGGGCTCATTTAAGTGGCCATTAATAGAAAAGAAATGTGTTTGCTTTATGTGCAGAGGGAAACTCCCTATAAATTGGAGCAGTTATGGAAAAGTTTCATACCCCATCCCTGATCAGGGTTGGGATGAAAGTGGAGAATCTCACTTTTTGGGTAAGGACTATGCATAGTGCATGCTGACCAGTGGCAGTGATATGTTTGTGACTGGCAGTAATGTAGTGTGTTGACTGCAGTCCATGTCTAGGAAAATGGAGTGGATGTTAGGCCTTTGTTTATTCTACTCAAATGAGCATAACTTATAGACCATCATGACACTTTCTCTCCTTTGTCTGGTATATGATCAGCTACGTGTCATCAGAACAAAATGTAAATTCATATCTGGTAGCGGAAGGATTCTTTCTTACTCTAGATGAGACTAGGTGAGAAGCTTGACTTCCTAAGAGGAAAATTTGTTAATGGTGAGAATTTAGGATTTCATTAGAGGGAATCAGTATTGACTTTTTTTTTTCTAAAGGAATATGGTACACGGGTGCTTAAAGCAAGCGAGGGATTCTTTATCCCACCTCTCACTGGGCTAATCATTTGTTCATCCCTAACTTCCCTTGGTGCTTTGGTGCTCTTCTCTTCCTTCTCCAAGTCCCAGGGATCCTTCATCCTTTCTCTACCACGTTTATGAAAACCGTGTCCTTGAAAACCAGGACTCTTTGGCATGTGCTTTTCCACATGTATCTACTCTCTTCTCATCTCTGTTCCAAGCAACTTTGTCTCCCTCTCTACTGTGACTGTCTACCCTTTACAATGTCAGAGTGCACATGGCTTGCCCTGGCCCAAGCCTAACCTTATGCCCCCTTTTTACCCTCAGCATCACCACTCTCTAGCCCCGTCTCTCAGTGTTTCCCAGTCAGATTGCCAAGAGAGGACTCTCATGGGCCCCCTGGCCCAAGCCTAACCTTATGCCCCCTTTTTACCCTCAGCATCACCACTCTCTAGCCCCATCTCTCAGTGTTTCCCAGTCAGATTGCCAAGAGAGGACTCTCATGGGCCGAGCTCACTCTTTCACATCAGGTGCTGATGTATGGTTGCAAGCCTTAAGATTGCTCCCCCTGGTTTACAACCCTCTCCATGAAATCTAGTCATGCCTTCATAGATGGACCCTTAGAGAGGGCGTGGGCAGGACAGTCCTTTGGGTCATGACCTGTCCAGGACATGGTAAAAGCTTGGTGCTGGCAGAGCCTTTTCCCTTAGGTAAAATAGACAGATAAAAATGTATTTTTTTATGTAGATGCTCTATGTCTGTATAGATTAAATATATATATGTAGGATTTTATTAGCGTAATATAGGATTTTTTATATATATGTAGGATTTTAATAGCATAATGATTAAAGGACTAGTTCAAATGTTACTTGTTTATTCTTGATAGAGCCCAGAAACTGGACAAAGGCAGGCTGCTGTTGCAGTGACACTAATAGAATTTGTATATATGAGTCAACCAGCTTCAAGGAACATTGATGATAGGAAGTTATTTGGTTTTAAAGAAAACATTTACATGGAGAGGAGAGGAAAAGAGCATATAGTCAAAATGATGGAGGGTAAGGTTCTCAAAGTGTTAATGAGGGGTTTGCATTTGACACCTTCCCATAGCTAAAGCATGAAATTGAGGTGTGATGTCTATGGGGGAAAAAAGTAGAAATTGGAGTTTGGAACTGATGGAGGTTCTATACAAAGGAAGGCTGACTGGAGCTGGGGCCTTTTGGGATCTGGTCCTAGTTTGGAGGGCTGGGGAATGGTCAGGCTTAAGGGGTATGGCTCTTGATAACTAAATGTTCAGGAGGCTGTGGTAGGCAGGAAATTGCCAACTCACTATTTTACACTGAGAAACAACTCTCACAGGACTCACCATACCTTCTTTATTGTCATGATAGCAGAGGAGGTTGAATTATAACCTGAAAGCTATCTGATGTATAGAGTCAAAGCAATGGGTGTTTACCTAGGAAAGTCTGGAATCCAGGAATGTTTTAACCCTCTCCCCTGGACAGTGCTGAGCCCAGATTAGGCAGAAAAACAAAGTGTTGAAAAGGTGTGGCACTGGAGTCAGACAGTCTGCGTTCCAGTGGTGGCTCCATTGCTTCTTATCTGGGTGATCAACCTCATTGTGCCTTAGCTTCTTCATCTGTGAAGTGTGTCAATTGAAGGACCCATCTCACAGGGTTATAGCAAGGAGAATGCGTGTGCTGTGCCTAGCTTGCTGCCTGACATATGATGAGTGATCATATATGTCAGTATCATTACATTTCCCCCCACCTTTTCCAGAGGTTGTCTTCCATTTCCAGTTGACCTATTATTTTCTTTTTCATCTATGTTAATTCCATTGTTTATGCTGCCAGCTTAACAAATAATGTAGCTCAAACATCTCTAGAAGTAATTGTTGGAAGAAACTTTGTAGTTTCCCATTAGTGATGCATATAGTGATGCTTTTCGTGCTGACCAACATCCCTCTTTATGAAGAGAGTTAATAAAAATCTGTCATATTCCCATATTTTTGTGTGTATAGAAAGCTGTCAGAATACTGATAACAGATAGTCAGTTGTCTTGTGTATGGCTGGTGAGTAGATGGAATTAGGATGGTGCCTACCAGTTAAATAGTTAAATCAGGAAAACTCAAACTCAGGATTTGTGGAAAGTAGAGAGTAAAGGATTATTCTTTAATGCCCTTCATCTGTCACTGCTGAGGTTCCTCTGAGTATGAGTTTGAGGATGGATAAGGGCTAGCCAGTTGTGTGTGTGTGTGTGTGTGTGTGTGTGTGTGTGCACGTGCACATGCACGCTTGCAAGCTGACTTACGGGCTGTGGTTGGTGGGGGAGGGGCACACATACTAACAACTGCTAAATGGGCCTGGGCCATTGTCCCCAGGTTACCATGTAGCAAGTAAGGTTTCCTTTATTTTTCAGAAAAACAGATGCAATTTCTAATTGAAATAGGTATTTTTCTAGTGCTGATGGCTTTCTGAGTGCACAAAAGAGAAAGACGTCTATAGCATAATTACTTAAAGTAAATAAATTCATTTCAGTGTGCTATGACCTTATTTTCCAAACCAAAGCTTGGAACCACTGGTTTGAGGAGCAGATTGTTTGAGAATGGGGTAGTCTTAAAAAATCCAGCATGGGGCCGAGCCCCTGGTGCACTCGGGAGAGTGCGGCGCTGGGAGCACAGCAGTGCTCCCGCCGTGGGTTCGGTTCCTATATAGGGATGGCCGGTGCGCTCACTGGCTGAGAGTGGTGCAGCCAGTCTCAAAAAGGACAAAAAAAAAAAAAAAAAAAAAAAAAAAAGCCAGCATGTGAAGTCCTTGCAAATATAGTTTGGAACATTAGGGACCATTCTGATAGGTGGAAAAAATTCAATTCCCTGTTGATAATGAGGAAGGGCCTTCTGGACATAGAGGAAAAGTCAAATATATGAACAGAAATATAGACAAGATGGGGTATGTTCAGGGTGGTGTGAAATATAGAAATATAGAAAAGGATGGAGTACAGATGTTTTGGGGTCGTAGTAGGGATCAGCAGGATGTAGTCTGAGGTGTCTAAAGGTAAGGAGAAGGAAAAGAAATGAAATGCAGAAAAATAGATATTGAAACCACAGTCAAGAGACCCTCTGGGGGAATTCGTGTTGAATACTATATTTTCTATGATAGTCTTGAAAGGATAAAGCAGGGAGAAAGAATAAACACAAGCAGAGAAAAATGAAAAAAAAAAACTCCACTCTATGATGAAAACACAGCAGGCTCAGAGTCCATATTACCGTGAACCCGAAAGAGGAGAGAGAGCGAGAAAGTGTCAGCACGCTGAGAACTGTCGATAGATGCCACTCAGGCGAGTTTGTGATTGACAGCGCTGCTGAGAAACAAGATTGATTACCCAGAGGCCCGCAGCCGCCGGCAGACAAGCCTGAGCCTGGTGGCAGGAGTGTCGGCGAGGCCTAATTGCCTCACCAATGATCGCAGAGGAAGCATTCATTAGTGTAAATATCATTCTTCCTCGAAGACCTGAGAAGGAACACTCTGGACCGAGAAGGCACCGTTTCTAATATCCCCCGTGAAAGCAACTAACATGCAGATCGCACTTGGTCCTCCCCACCCAAATAAAATAAATTCTAGTATAAGCAGAAAAAACCATACCCGGTGATTAGATAATGTGATGTGCTATATAGACTTGCAGTTCAAAGGGAATGGAAGTGCGTGGGGGGCAGATGGCATGTGGAGGAAGAGAAAATTATGACTGGGAGGTTGGAGCTGTTAGGTTTGTCTGCAACCACCTAGTTTTCTGTCATTGGCACCTTCATATTTTAACCTTGGCATTAACTTCACTACATTTCTGTGGATTTCACAATTGCTATATTGTTGGGGGAAATCAGTAATACTTTTTTTTTCAATTTGTTAGAAAAATACACATTTTTCTTTGGGGGCTCGTACAATGATTATCCTCAACAATATGCATACATATTTAATTTAATTATATTTTTCATGGGGGTTTGGGGGTAGTCATTTCAATGTATCTCATTCTCTTGGAAAGAGGCCCCGGGCTCTGACTTTAATTATGCCACTCTTGTTTGTTTAAATT